TGGCAAAGAACCACTGGGCTGCTCCTCAAGTAAATCACATGTCCTCTGGATGTTACAGTGTTCTACTGACAGAAAAGCAAAGCAAAATATACTTGAACTGGGCAGATATAGAGAAGTAGCTGCTCTTCAAGGGCTTGCTGTGTGTAATGACCCCCAACCAAAGCTGGGAAACAAAACCACCAGGGGAAAACGTGGAACCTTAGTAAGCTTTGTCTTAGGCATGGTAAGATCAGAACAGAGCTGTGGGCATTAGAAGGGACTAACTCCATTATGGGACATTCCTTTAAAATATTCCTTGCAGAACTAGAGATGAATATTCCAAATTTATGCTTTTAAGAATGCTGCTGTGTTAACCTCTGCTTTCCTGTCCGCTCAGCACACTGACCTCAGACTTGCTATCCCTTGAGTGTGGGATAAAACCACGTTGTTATTGATATTTGCTGCCCTGTGCTCCTTGGCAATTTTACTCATAGTTTAATTGTTTTCTTTGAGGGTTTGATTGGGACAACGAGGTTGGAGTTGTGGTCAAGGTGTATCTGCTGCACCTTTCTGTCAGGGGCAGGATTCCAGAGCTGTCGCTGCAGGGCTGACAAAAAAGGAGCATTTCAGCCAACATAAGGAGGAAAGTACCAAACTTTGTGTCAGGGAGCAGCAGATTTTCCACCTGTGCAGCAGAAAGCAAATATCTGTGTGCAAATACTGGGATGTGTAAATGCAGATGAGAGGAATTAAGAAATGACCTCTAATACAGTAATAAACTAATCTTTTCCCTGAATCACTTCTTCCCCAGAACTCTGAGGCTACAACCACGTGCCCTTTCACAGCTGCCTTGTTGAAGGTTACTAACCCCTTGTATCTGCCAGCAGGACCCTTTGCATGTTCCTTAACTTATTTGTTTGAAATACTCCCACCAAACACTGAACTGGAGACTCTTAGGTGCTAATTTTGTTCACAGAGTGATTTTTGGCTACCTCCTTTTATTGCCATGCAGCAAGCAAGATCCACTCAAATATGTTTAGTCTGACTTTTATCCTACATTAATCATGTACTAGCTAATATTTGGATGTGTTTCATAGTCATAAAACCATTTTAATGTCCATTTGGAGTTAAGTGTGTCCCCTTTACAGATTTAGCAGTATCTCCTACACTACTTAAGCCCTCCTAAGAGACCACATGTTTGCCTGAAAATGGTGTAACAGCTGAATTATTCCCTCACAAAGGATTATTCTGATCCAATTTGTGCTGGATGTTGTAGTGTTTGTAATCAACAAAGATGGAAAAAACATGAGGAAGTCATAAAGCAACACGAGGATGTGCTCAGCATCAGCTTCTCTGTCCTTGGAGAGCCTTTGGCCGAGCTTCTGAGACAGGGAGTTGGAAATCAATAATGCTTTTGTCTCTTATTTTTCCTCATTTGTTTCTCTTCAGAACATCCCAGCACACCTCCACTCCCAAATCCCACAGCTTGCTCTGAAATGCTGTGCAGCAGTTTGTGCTTTCCTGGGGGGTTAATCCCCACTGAGGGGACACACGAAGCAGGGGGGCCCTTTGAGAGGCTGCAGCAGGGGGCTGGGCTGCAGGGAGGGGCAGGACCTGGCAGCATTTGCCTTCCATCCTGCGGTCCCTGACCACATCCAGACAAAAAGCAAACAAACCAACAAAACAAACGTGCCACTGAGCCAGCCCCTCTGCCCCAGCCGGGCCAGCAGCAGCAGTGAGGCATTTCTGTGGTCCACGTGTGGCTCGCCTCAAGTGACACATGGAGAAACACTGCCTGCTTCTGTTGGAGCCCAACAGCCCTCCTTCACTGCCTTTTATTATCTAGTAAAATGCTCTCTAGGTTTTTAACTGCCTTTTTTTTTTTCCCCCAGTTGATTTACAGTCCTGGGTCTGGGGTATGTGCACGGATTCAGTGGGAACTGCTGAACGACAGGAGTGGAGGATCTGGCCTCTCTGTTCCCAGATTTTACTGTGCAGCCTGAGTTAATGAAAGGTCCACTTGTAAGCCTTTAAATATGACTGTTTTCCTTGTTTGTAAAGTTACAGACTCAAAAATTAACTGTTGGAATACAGATGGGCAAACCTCTGCTTGCCCAGCAGAGAGGAGAAAGCAAATTTTGTCTGTTCTCTGCTGGTCTTCCACAAAGACACTGCAAAATGCAGCCCCACTGATTTGCAGACCTACTAAAAGTGATTCAGCAAGACGATTTTCCCCTTTTTTGTGATAATTGTTTTGGGTATTGGACATGTAGAGTTAGATTTATATCATGAAGAGGCATATATGGGACACATGTGAGAGCACTCATCACTCATGGTGCAGGGTGAAAGGTTTTGTGGTGCTTACTTAGTAGAAAACTCCCTTTTGAGTCAAATGTGACTGTTCCTCTTGGTTGTACATTTTGTTTATAGCCAGCAGTTACAGAATTTGATTTTCAAGAGAGTTTAGAGGTGCCTGACTTTATTATAGTTTTGCCACTGAAACAGCAACAGTCTGGGTGAATCAAGACACTTCCAAAAAAAAAAAACTTTTCTGGTGATTTTGTCAATTCTATTTTTTATGATTTTGAAAAACACAGAAAACTTTTTAGTCTTTCAGGGCTGACTGTAAACTTCAATTTCCTTTCTTCTGGAAAATGAACTCAAAATGTTTCATATAAACACTTGTTATCCAAATTATCCTGTCAAGGTGCTTACTTTCAGTCCAAACCAAATGTTACATGATCTGGGATAAACCTGACTTGCATAAGGAGATATAATCTAGTGTTTGCCTCTAGGTAACATCAGGCACGTGGACAGTTGATAGAGCTCAAGTGACATGTGGTATCTTGTCAACAATCACCTTAATTTTTGTTCATGTTATGTGACAGCCACTGCAGTAATCTCCATTTTTACCACAGGAGAGGGTTTGGAATTAAGAAGTGCCTCTGAAAAGCACTGGTTTGGATGCTGGTGGAGGCCAACTTCCATTTCTACTCATTTGGTCTGATCCAAACCCTTGCCTGAGTTTTTATATGCTGAAACCATCACAGAAAGGCAAAAATGTATCTGCTTGTCATTCAATAATAATAATAATAATCCTTTTGGAAATGGGTAACACACTTCCTGATTGAAACAAAGCTGCTTTTCTTGAGTCAGTCCCAGTCCATAACCTGGAGTGCCCAATTGCAAGAAAAGGGAAGCTGCAGATTTATTTATGGCCTCATTGGGTTGAGAAGTATCAGAATCTGATAAAGAGGCTTTTTTCCCCTAAAACCCTAAAGCCACACTGTCACCCCAGAGTTTCAGACATCTGGATATCCCCACTCCCCCAGGGACTATTCAAGTCAGACATTCTCCCTTCCCCTGTCAGCCAGGCACAGACTGTGAAGGTGGCATTGTCACCTCCAGTCTGTTCTAACACATAATTGCTGATGGTTGTCAGTAAACACCAGTAATACATATTTAAATGCTCAATACTTTCTTATTTTACCTCTGGAGTCCATTTCCCAGGTGTATCCTTTGGAAGTTGTCCTACATGACTGGCTCCACGTGAAGAAAAAGTCATAAAACCTAAACACCCCAAAAGTCTGAAAGGCTGTAAACCATGTTCCAGATCCAGCTGTGGAGTTCAGTGCTGGTTATAAAGCAGAGGTGGGATCTTGCAAGCAGCAAATACTCTGTTTTTCTTTCTGACTAGTAGGGTTTCAGCCTAATTGTTGCTGGACTCCTTCTCTCAGAGTTGAGAGAAGATATGCTTAAAAATTCCCCAAAAGCCTGGAGATGAAACACCTTTTTTACCCATAATTCTGGTATCTTAGAAACTGCTTAAGGTACTTCTATAAAATAGTGGTGGCTTTGCCTCGTTTCTAATGGCTTTAAACTTTGGTACATTTAATAGTGATGCTTTTTAAGGATAAGGTAGCTGTCCTTAAACAATTCTTAGAATTTCCCCCAATTTCCTAGAAAACAGTTTTTGTGTCTTGCCTAATATGTGCTGATTTTCTGTGAAATTCTGAAGCACAGCTCCATTAAAAGTTTCAAGTCAACACCCACACATGCTGTAATATTGATATAGCTCCATTCTATCCAGCAGAATGGTACTGAGTATTATCAGGCCAAAATCAGGTCCTTTTTTTTTTTTTTTTTCAGTTTGGGTCCCCAAATCCAAGTCTGACAAGTATAGTTAATAAAAACTATAAACTTTATAACTTTGGAAGACTGATGGGCTGAGTTTCAAGTTGATGTATTTAGAGCACTGGTACTGGGAATGTGTTCCATGGCAATGGCAGAGACATTTCACCTATCCTGGAGGCCAATTCATTCATCAGGAGTCAAACACTGCACAGAAAGTCTGAATTTCAAAGTGATATTCCTGGAGTCAAGTACTGGTCAGGGTAATTCTGATTTATTGTTAATAAATCAGACTCTTCCCCTTTAGCTGTAAGAAAATGTCTCTTTTACCTAAAAGTGTGTCTTTTTTATAAAATTCAAAGAAATAATTTGCCAAGCAGGTACCTAACACTTTTTAAATAGTTTAGTTTTAGTTTGAATGCATTGCTTATGGCTAAGTTGGGCTTAGCAAAGCCCTGTGTAGGGCTCAAATTCTAAGTGGCTGTAATATCTTTAAGCTCATAAGTTAAACTCCTGAATGGAAATATTTATAAATTACTCTAGTAGAGTTACACCACCTAAATGTCAATTAAACTAATCTCTTGCTTGCACTCTGCACTGTGTGTGTCACAGGGAGACTCATTTCCAAGGGCTGGGGCTGGAATGCCTTCCCTGCCTGTACCTTCTCCCTCCCTTGCAGACACACACAGAAAATTCTTTCCCAACAGAGCCTAACTCAGCCCATCTGAAAACTCCTGCTGTGTTCCTCGCCAGATTGCAGCTGCAGTTTGAGAATTCCAAAGAAAGTTTTACAAACAGGACAGAGCAGCTCCATAACCTGGGAGCGAGCACAGAAACCGCTAAAGTGCAGGAAACGGCTGGAAATGATTGTAACCAAAGTTTCTCCTTACCTTCTTCAGCAAGTGCTGCCAAGGGCACACTCCCTAGGACGAGGATGAAGAATGGAACCTTAATAAACATCTTTGATCTGCTTGGAGAGTCGCTTTTCCTAATCCTGAGACCAGATGGATCCAAACTCGGATTAATTTTTATTTAGAGGCAGCGGAGAATTGATATCCCCAAAAAGAAATCACTGCAAAGAAAACACTTTGGTATTCCAAATATTCCTTTTGCTGCTGTATCGTGGAGGGGGAAGGCTCTCCCAGCTGATAACTGTACAGTTAGAGACAACTGAGTGGAGTTGGAGTTATTTTCTTTAGCCCAGGGGTGGGAGCAGCCCAAGGTGGTCCTGGACGAGCAGCCAGGCCCGCCCTCCGCACGCTGTTTGGTCAGCACCAAAATGATGATCTCAGCCCAGGTTTAAAGTTACAGGAGCTGTTGTGGCTTTCACAAGACTTTTATTTAGCAAAGTGGGGAAAGGGAATTTAGGCAGAGCGAGGTGCTCCCTCCCTTCTGCAAACTGTCTTTAAAAAATACTTAAGGAACAACACTAAGGACACTTTTCTTGTTATTTCCAGCGGTGAACTGATGGTTTTTTCATTTCTGAGTGAGCCCCCATGTTTGTCTAAGCAAGTGTGGTACTGAATGTGCATTTAGGGACACTGAAACAGTTTTAGGACAGGCTATTTAACTCTGCAGTAAATAGTGTCTGAGTTTTCCTGTGTGTTTGAGGCTCTGAGCTCGTGTCCTCAAGTGACACCCTGGCTGTGCTCGACCATTTCTCTCTGCCCACAGGCTTGCTGGTCTCAGAGTGCTGATATCACCCTTCAGAGAGAGGATTTTTCCTTTTAATATGTATTATTATTAGCAGTACAGCCCTACAATGAGTCTGTGCAAGACTCATCAGTTTTTCCTCGTCCATGTTTGTGGGAATCAGCCTTGCAGGGCAGGTGTGCAAGGCTGGATGGCACCAACATCTGTAAGACAGGCCTTTGCTCACCAATAACAGTTCTTAGGCAGGAACTGGGGCTGAACTTGGAGAGAAATTATTTATATCAACCCTATTCTGAATCTTCCCTCATCTTGGGCAAGTAATAATCTCCTGATTTACATCTATTTATACATATCTGGAGCAGGTCCAAAGAGCAACGAGGCTGGGGAAGGGACTGGAGCACAAGTGCTGTGAGGAGAGGCTGAGGGAGCTGGGGGGGCTCAGCCTGGAGAAGAGGAGGCTCAGGGGAGACCTCCTCACTCTCTGCAACTCCCTGACAGGAGGGTATAGCCGGGTGGGGGACAGGCTCTTCTCCCAGGAACCAGCAGTAGGACAAGAGGGCTGGGTCTTCAGCTGTGCCAGGGGAGGTTTAGGTTGGATATTAGGAAGAAATTCTTTATAGAGAGAGTGATCAGCCATCGGAATGGGCAGCCCAGGGAGGGGGTGGAATCACCATCCTGGAGGTGCTGAAGGTGAGACTGGATGTGGCATCAGTGCCATGGGCTGGGAACCACGGCGGGGTTGGATCAAGGGTTGGACTTGATGATCTCGGAGGTCTTTTCAACTCAGTTGATTCTTGATTCTGTCATTCTGTTGAGGAGTGTGGTGAGTTTTAATCAGTGCTTGGGTGTGAACTGACTGCACCAGTGTGTCACAGAGTGAGTGAGGAAGGGCAGAACCTTCTCCCTCAGCTTCTGCACCTCCAAGTCCTGCAGTGCCAGGACCTCAGGCTCACAAAGCAGCAGCAGCAGCGTGGATTTATTTCCTTTCTGCTGACAGCTGTGGAGGAGGTAACCTCTGCTAGAGGAGACTTGTGCCAGGGGTTTTGTTATTTTTTAAATACAGACACACAAAAAACCCCCAGAACAACCCCCTAAACCATGGCTGGGTTGTTTTGCTCAGGGAATGAGTCAGAGCTGTCATTAAGACCCCACAACACTTGGTGCTATAAAGGACCAAAGCAAGTCTGAACGTAAGACCTGATGTAAAAAGGGCTGCAGGTGGGAAATGCTGCACCTTCCACTGGGATTTTCTTTCCCTCTCAAAGTGATGGGTGCCAAAGGAATTTCTTAGCTATAAATTATGTTGCTGTAATTGTGTTCTTTGTGAGGAAGAGGAGGGCAGGATGAAAACAGTTGATGCCAATGCCAAGAATCAACAGGCAATATTGACTTATTGTCTCCAGAAAAGCAGTAAAATAAATATTGCATATTAAAAGCTGGGATTAATTATTCTCAATAATGCAGTTTCAAATTTATTTAGGAGAATGTTTATTATGGGGGGAAATGCCCCTTCATATGAAACTAAATCTTGCTACAGGAGTATGTCAGTTTTAATGGAATTTATTTTGAAAGAAATATTTTTTTACCTTATCAGAATGGAATGTTTGGAATTCTGTATGTATTTTTAGAACAAATGAATGTAGTACACTATGAAAGACAAACTGGTGCAAACAGTGACTTTTTAATGTTAACAAATTTTCAACAGGAGCAAAAAGAAGGTATTTTTAGGATTTCATTCAGTTTTCTTTAAAAGCACTCTGGAGACCTTTTACAATTATTCCTATAAACAAACTTACCTCAGGTTTAGCAATAAGCCTTTCTAAAGGAAGAGCTATTTGCTGAATTAAATAAATTCTTTCTTTAAGCTGTACTGTCTTCTGGGTATAGAGCTGGGATTCTTGAGCTTTCAGGAACTGGAGATGTCCCAATTCCAGTGGCTATTCCAACACTTTTCGATACTTTTATTATTTTTCCCAGTAAGGAATAGTTTCTCCTATACCAGCCTGTTCCTCCTGTCTGGACTTGCTCTTCAAAGGAAAACTCCTTAGCTAAATTTATTGAACTGTGAAGAATTTAATAACATCAGCTTCTATCAGGGTGTCAAAGTGCAACAAAGGGCATAAGAAATGTGCCTACAGATGCAAAACAAGCTGGTGAAAAAGCTCCTTCCTAACTGTCATCTTGGGATGGGATTGCTCCTGAAGGACAACTGTGACAGGAACTTGCCTTCCAGTGGGGACAGTTGCTGTGTAAGGAGATTAAGGCTGATTTAAAACAGCAACAAAGTTCTTTCAGAAGAGCCAAGGTGCCCTTGGGAGAGGGGACGGAGCCAGGGGGACGAGGGAGCAGTTTTCCTCTGAACTGTCCCAAATTAAGGGGGTTTGATGAAACTGCAGTTCAGTGCTCTGCAATTCTGTTAAACCAATAGGTTATTCATAGGTTCTGATTTAACAATTCATCTGCACTGAAAGCAGCCCTTAATTGTGTGTCAGAGAACAGCAGGTGAGCACATCCCACATGTGCCCCAGTGCTGCCGTGCCACGAGTGTCAGATCCACGCAGAGATGTTGTAATTTGGTCTGGGTGTGTTATGACAATTCCCACAAATTACCAGGATATGAGTGCATGGGTCACTCTTTTTTTTTGTTGTTGTTGTTGCCAGGCAGGTCTGTGTTTTCAATCCCAGTGGTTTGGGGGAGGACGTGGAGAGGGGTCTGAGTCCACGCAGCCCTTGTGTTTGCATTTCATAATCGGCTCCTTCCGTCTCATCATATCGGTGGTTTGCAGAGTCTTGTGAGAGGTTTGGGCTGTGTCTGGTTCAGTGAGAGTGAGGAATGAACCAGAGCTGGGGGAGTAGAGAAGTGGTGACTGTATCCTGCCAACTGTTCCGCCTCAGGGGCGAAGCCGTGTGGGATGATGTTTTCCCCTGGATCAATCATGAACCCGGGGGCACTGAAGTCAATCCAAGGTTCCCTCTGATCACAAATGGGCTTTGACTTCCTGTAAATAACCTGTAAAATGGGAGCACAACCATCCACACTCTATTTAAAGCCCACCATAGAGACCAAAGCAGTGCATGTACACACGGGGGTGACTCTCTCTATAGTCACATCTAAAAAGGCCACACAAATGTCTCCTCTCTGCACAGAGGAATATTCAAATTACCCCTCTGCAGTCCCACGAACTGTCAGAGGTCACAGCATGGGGACACATTTGAATGTTCTGCCTGACTTATTACAGGATTTTCCATGAAAGTACAGCTCCAATGCTCTAAAATTCGTCTTTCCACAGAACCATCTCATCCATTATCTCCAATACAAGGGAAATCTTAGTTTACAACATCTCCAGTCCACACAAAGTAAACCCATATTTACCCCTTCTATCTTTTCACTAAAAACACTCAAAAAGTGTAAATTAGGCATTCCATTTGATGACATCCTTTGCAAACCTCCCCTGTAACTCAAACGACACTGTCTCTTTCTGTTGCCAAATTTCCTGTTTCTGTACCCTGGGGGCAGCTGTGGGCCCTGCAATATTTGGTCAGAAGCATAAAAGCTGTTTTCTGCGAGCTTTATTAATTTTCAAGCCATTTCCTGTTTTCCCTTTGCAGCCAAACCCACCCTTTTTGGCAGGTACTGAAATAAAAAAAAACACATGATCCAGTCTGAGCAAAAGTTCAATTACTTGACAGAGGAGGAGACCCCAAATGATAACTCTGAATTTTCCTTGCTGCTTTCCACAAGGCAACTTTGCTTTGCTGTGAGGTAACATTCCAGCAGATGAGGTGTGGAATTGCAGAAGGCTTTTGCAGAACTACAGATCCTCGCCCTCGGGAATGGCTTTTACCTTCCCTTATTCCCAAATTGTTAAAGCTCCAGTCCATCATATCCTGTCATTGGTTTGCACAGGCCTCAAATAGGTGTCACTTCATTGTAGCTTTTGGGTTTGAGCCACTGAGGTTTTAGTTTCCTATAGTAAGAGATTGGGCTCAAATATTCATATTATGCAGCTTTTTAAGAGATCAGCAGCTATAAATCCAATCCTGTTCCTTGCCCATCTGTGCTCCTGGCAGTGTAATATATGCCCAGAGCTGTGAGCAGCCCAAGCTGTCAGATGTGGGGAAGAGGGATTATGAATGAGCAAATGGCAACAATGCTTGAAGTTGGAGTTCTTGAGCTACAACAGTAATGATCTTTGTCAGTCAGGTTTAGAGACGGGGCTGGATTTCCAGCTGGTGTAACTCAGAGTTTCACCAAAATCAATAAGACTCTCAAAATAAACGTATTTAAGGGGAAAGAAGAAAGTCTCTACGCTTCAAATAGTTTCCTTTGAGATTTATGGGCAGCTGTTCCTTGTACAAGTCGCTTTTCTCCATGATGTCATTTGAGCCAGGGATGAAAAGTTGATTAAGATGTGCTGGGAGAGGCAAAGGGCACAGAGGGCTGCACAGGAGTTTTACACAGAGTGAGTTGATCTGTGTAAAATGTCAAGATTTCTCTATAATATTTCAAAGTCTGTCATTAGATGTTGAAGTTCCAAAGTTGAAATTGATATTGTTCACATTTTAAGGTTCTTCACTAGAAGCAGATGAATTTGGGCCGTTTAACACAAAAGCCTGACTTATATTTTTTACTCAGGAGTAACACCACTGCCTACCAGAAACAAAATACTGGTGTGAAGGGAGCAGGAGACATTTGGTAGATGGTCTGCAGTGCCTTTCTTGAGAGGATATGAGTGTTGGTTGTTTATAAAGACCCCGGAGCAGAACTTCTCAGCTGCTTCCTCAATAAGCCTTTCATCAGAGACAGCGAAATTCTCTGGGGACTTAGCCCTGAAAACATAAACCTCATGGAATGCAACAGGTTACATGGGGTTTAAGAACTGATTGTAGGGAGTGTGCACGATCCTGAGGGCACCCTGGAGTTGGGATTTCTGTCAGGGAGTATTTCACCCAGAGAAACTCTTCCCAAAGTCTGCCAGCAGTTGTCTCTACGTGACACACAATGGAGTGACTCAGAGTTAAATATGGAATGCCCACTCTGTACTACTTTTAAACCTGTGACTGACCACCATGTATTTAACAAAAAATTATAAGGTTGACGTAGGGTTTTCTTAGGTCAGGAGTGTTTTTTAACTAGAACAGTTATAAAAGGAAAGCAACACAGCAGCGGAGCCAGAGGGGGGAAAAACACACATACTGTGTACTCAGTCTCATTTGCTGCAGAATGGTTTTGGGAGTTTTTCTTAATGCTTTCAAAGGCTTTCACTGCTTTGATTGTGAGTTTATGCAGATAAAGCAAATGCCTGTCAGTGAGAATTTACGTGTCCTAATTTTTTTAAATACACTTTGTCTCGATGTGCTGGAAATTCAGCAAGAAATGTTGTAATCCTGACCAGGTGACCGAGATCACACCTGCTTGGAATGTGAGCAGAACCCAGCACTGTTTGTGGCCCTGCTGTGTCCTGACAGCAGCCAGGAGCTGTCTGGGCATCTTCAAGGTGGGGCAGGACTTGCCTGGGTTTACAGGGAGAGGGACTAAGGAACACACAGAGCACGTGGGCACAGCCAGTTCTTTGTAAATGACAAATTGTCTCTGGGAATAAACTCGTGTGTCTTTGAGAATGAAATTCCTCATTTTATTCATCCATGTGATGAATAAAATGAGAAATACTACCCCCCTGAAGTTCCATGGGAAAAGTCTCATTTCGACTCTGATTTTAGGGAGGAATCACATATAAAAAAAAAAAAATGTGGTTTCTTTCCCTTTCTGTATACTGTGTTCCTAAAAACAGGCAGCTTCGTGGGGGAGATGCACAGATGAACAAAAGCTGGTGGAATGAGTGGTTGTTTCAAATGGGGGAGGGCAGGGAGGGACAGAAAAGCAGACTGATGTGGGGATGGACACTTGGGAATGTGGGGAAGCAGTGATGTTCTCCATGGCCTTTCCTGACTGTAAATGGGATTTATCTGCACATAATGTAAGTGAATAACCCAAAAGAGCCCATCTCCACAGTGCCCTGTGGCCACGAGAGGGAGTGAGACGTTCACAGGTCCCGGTTGGTTTGACACACACTCGGTGCGGGGCTGGATCCCACCACTTCCCTCATCCCAGGGAGGAATCTGAGCCAAGAAATATGTTCCAGACAAGGAAGGTTTTGAGCCGCGATTTTTTTCTGCCACATTTTCAAGCAGCAGCATGTTTTTCCACGCTGGCTCCGCGTCCAAATGGGGATGAAAATGCGAGGTTTTGGTGAGAGAAGAAGGCAGGGTGATCTCTCAGCAGCACAAACCACGGCTTGTCTTGAAGTGACAGTCGTCGTGGTGACCCCAGCTCACCTTCTGACTGGCGGCCACATCACCAGGGAGCAGCAATCCCAGGAATTTTAGTAAGGAGCAAAGCACACCTCAAAGCAAAACGAGTCCGAGCATTGAAATCAGGGCAGAGATCAGGGATGTTTCAGCTATTTTGCAAAATCTGGATTCATTCACATGTTGTTCCACTGACGTGTCGCTGAATCACGTCCTGCAGTCTCCTCAAATGAAACACTACACCAGGGACCTTAATAAAGGGTCTCAGCTGCCACTGCTACTGCTGTGTCTAGGAGAAATACTAGGCTAAGAGCACGGTTTTACAAATATTTATAATGTTGGATTGTTTTCCTGAAAAATAAAGTGAATAAGTATCACAGCAAGGGGAGCGAGAGCAACAGAGGACACCAAAATTCAAATCAAGTGAATCTTCATCATAGTTAAAACAATGATTAGGTTATGGGTTTAATTGTTCTCTGGACTGCACTATAAATTATCTATGACTAGAATAACGACTTGAGAGTGTGTGGAGGGCTGGAGTGGCAGCCTGAGAGTAGAAGGTGGGCTGAGAGGAATGTGATTAAGTGGAGTTCACAAAGACAGACCTTATCTTTGCAGCACTCAAACCACTGCCTGGGATCACTTTGGTGCTAGCAGCCTGTCCGGAGTAACTCCAGGGAGACAAGGCAGTTCAGATGCAGGATTTTCCTATCTATGGGGTAAGTTCATTCAGGCTTTAAATTAGGGAATGAATGTTTTATGCTTTGCTCTGTATTTGCAAGACCTGTCTTGCATAAACTAATCCTAGGACACAAAGGAGGAGAGAGCTGCTCTCCTGGAGGCCTCCTCAGCACTTTAATAGCCCCAAGCCATCTACGTGTGTCTTCAGATCAAGGCACTATTGTGTTGTTAAAAAATAAATATTTAAAAGCCTGTGCCTTTTAACATGGAAATGCTGAAAGCTTTTGCAGTGAATATCATTTAACTTTAAAGCTCCAGCCTGTTGGTGCTTCTGGTTATTTCCATATGAAATGGTGGAGAAACTGAGGTGCTGAGCACTCTGGTTACACAGACCAGGAGTGGAAATAAGTATTGGAGACTCTCTCTGCAGTGCCAGCACTGTCTCTATTCTATAAATCAATTCATTAAATATAAGTGGTGAATTAAGAGGATTTTTTCTTTATTGGAATGTTAATAATACCTCGGTTTCACTGCAGGAAACTGAATTACAGGCCCGTGATTCATGGGGTTGTAGGCGTAGGCAGCTGTACACCAAGTACAAAGAATATTAACAACTTTAATTGCCTGCAAGCACTACTGATAATTCAGCATCTTTCACAGCAAACCAGATTACTCCCAAAATAAGTGATTTCGATCTAGATATCTTATCCTATAGCCCATGAGCCTCACAGCAGTTTTATCCCTTCCCTTGTTTGAAAAAGGGAGACTGAGGCCCTGTATTAATTCACACTGTTAAGTGTGAATTAAAGTCAAACACTGGCTTTGGGATGGATTTTTTTACCTCAGAATGTGTATCCAGGGAGTTTGACCTGTGCTTTATTAATGCATAGAACATTTATGTTGCACAAAGCTGCGTGCACACAAATCTTCCCGAAAGCTCAGCAGGAATTGTGGAGCTCAGCAGTTGTGCCCCTGCATCCTCCTGCTTTGGCCCCCTGTCACTTCAGGTACCAGTGACAGCAGAAAGGACCAGACAGGGCTTGTAAAAGTGCCAATAAAGTGCCTGCCCTGAGTGATGCCCAGGAACCACATTATCAGTGGCAATACTGCAGGAAACTGGATTTTCTGAAGAGTGACAAGCCTGAAAACAAACTAAAAACCATTAGGGCTTTCCTGAATGTTTGCATTAACTAATGTTTGACTGGCTTTTTTTGCCATCAAAAGTGCATCTTAACTGATTCACGCTACTCAAAAACTAGTCATTAAAACACTTCTCAGTGGTACAGTTTGTAACACTCTTCCTTGGGCCATCCCTGGCTGGAGCAGTAGCCAGAGGAGAGATGCTCTTCAGTGTGACCTCCTATGTCATTTTGGTGAAAGGAAAGGTTCCACTTTTAGGGATCCAAGAATAGCTATACGACAAAAAGTAATTTTCAAATTTTTTTATTTTTTTTTTTTTTACTGAAAGTGTTTTGTTAGACATTTTTGGCTTCTGTATTTTTAGTCTGCAGCCATCACACAATCCCTAAAAATATCTTTTTGCTTGTAGCACAGCCTGAGATAATGGAGAGTATAGTACATTCCACGTGTTACCACATGGACAATATTTTTACCATATTAATTTTTTGTGCCATTAACTTCCTGAAAAAATTAAAACAGCCTGGAGCAAACATACTTTTTCTTTTGAGTTCCCTTCAACTTTGAGATTTAAGAGACTTCTCTTGTGCCATTTTTGTGAGATGGATTTCTTTTTGATCCTACTAAAGATGGTGTAGAACCATCTCAGGTTGTGATGCCTCACAGCACCGTGCCCATTAACTTCACTGACACTCCCCAGGGAGGAAATGCTGTGGTTCCCCTTTCTTTTGGTGATGTTACTCAGCTTTAACATCTTCGAAATGAGGCAGACCCAAAACTGTAGAAGCCAGTATGAGCAGATGTGTGGAGATGTTCTCCAGACATTAATGACATCCATGAACCAGAGCTGTCCCTGCCCAGGGCAGGAGTTACCCTTCCTTGCACAGTAACACCAGGTTAGTGTGGGACAACTCCTGGCTGCTGAGGCACCTCCACCTCCCCATCCTGAGGGTCCTACTGAAGTTCTAGTATTTAAAACCCCTCTGTACCACTGCAGCACCAACATGTAGGATGAAAAATGTCATGTTGTACCACCCTGCACCGTGCCAAGAGGGGCTGTAATAAAATTCTGGGGGTTATTGTTTATATCACTGACTACCAGAGAATCCCCCCCAGTTTGTTGCCAGTGAGGTAACTGATTTCTGAAGCAATTATGAAACTACTCATTGTAATAATTAGCCCTGGTTATCAACATGCCTGTGAAAAGCAGCTCCAGAGGCAGCATTGCAGGGCTCCCCCCTCTCCCCCTGGGGAGCTGCTGCCCTGGCTGATGTGATTCCACCTGACATCTCACCCAGCTGATTAACAGGGCGAGGGACACGTCACAAGGCATTAAATCACAGCCTGCTGCCTTCCCTAAGGGACACTCAACTTCTGGATGGCCAGAGAAGCTTTCAAGAGGATGGAAAGATCACTTCAGGGGGAAGACAAGTGAACAAGCAGGACCATCTCCCATGAATGGGACTGTGGCTGCTGCAGTTATACCAAGAGACTGGGAACTCTAACGGGTGCTTGTCCTCTTGAAGACTTTTTTTTGCATACAGTAAAGTGTACAGGCCTTTTCAACATTTCTGCTTCAAAGGCAAACCCAACTCCTTTGCATGAGAGGATTTCACCCCATTGGTTCAAGGATCTCTGTCACTGTTTTGTTGGGGTTTGTTCTTCACGTGGGTATAAAAGAACCTGGGATTTCTGGACTTCAGGACAGGAATCTGATTTATTTAACATAGAATTATGTCCACAGAAAGAGCTCCAAAGTGAAAGTCTAAGGGCCTGTGACCACACAAACACTCATTTGCACACCCTCATTTTGTCAGTTTGCTTCCATTGGGAGATCTCACGTTCCTGGTCTTGCCTCAAGTCCTGATCCACTGCTGGTTGTCCCTTTGTGTTCCTGAGTGCTGTATGGCTCCAGTGCAGAGATGGATGCATTTTTGTGCAGTAATTATTCTGCAGGAAGCCAGTTGTCCAGAATTAACCTGTAAAAGGTGGAATTGCACATGTGTGGGAACGATGCACACAATTTAATGAGTGTGAGATACACTTCAAAGGACAGTTTGCAAGCCCTCTTTTGAAATTACAGCCTGATCTTAAGCACTTAATTATATTTTTCATGAACTATTTTTATGGTAAAGGGCAACAGAGAGGGGTGTAATAATTTATTTCCATTATTTCTACCACTCAGCTCGTGTTTGGAATTCCCACTGACACGAACATGCTTCCTGCATATTTAAATCCATGGAGTGTGGGCAGCAACAGTCAACGAGGGAAGAGGAAAGGAAGCATTAATGACTGTCTTGGAGTTGTTTTCCTCCTGTTGTGAAGAGCTTGTACCACATCAAGTCAGTTAAATAAATACAGCCACAGAAGGTAACTTGAATGTCTTTGTTAAATCCCCTTATCAAAGCAGACTGGGGAGTCACTAAAAGACCTTGACCTCCAATTAAATCAGTGCCTTTGTAAATGGAACTTTTCTTGCTGGGTGTGTGGTGTTAATTGGCATGAAATCCTCACAAGAGCACCATCCTCTTTGGTCTGGAAAAGGCATTTAGCCTGTCAGTGTTACAATGTTAATAGAAAAATGAATTCAAGTCCTTTTTTTGTTTGTTTGTTTGTTTTGGGGTTCTTTTAGTTATTGAGGGGTTTGTTTGGGGTTTTCTTTTTGTTTTATGTTCTTTTAAACTCCCTGGTGTACCATGCACACCTAATGGTCTGCAGGGGCTTTGTCCTCAAAGAGTGTTTGCTGGTGTTTTTAGAAACATTAGCTGTCAACTGGTTTAATTGCTGTAAATCCATTTGCTGTTCCTTGGAACAAAGAGAACTCTCCAAAGGGTTTTCAAGGTGGCACAGAGAACAAATTCAAAGCACAACACTTCCTCCTCAAGGAACACAAACTTGCTTGGCAGATATCTCAGAATAATTTCTGGTTTTCCTTCCTTGCAGGAACATTTTTCCCTGGAACATTCGCCACTTGTCGTGCTCTCTCCCCTCTGCTCAGCCAGATTGCACGTTCAGCTCCCAGTGCTCTGGGAAGGTTGTTCCCTCCAGAAGGGCTGCAGGGAGTGATCAGGGGAGGGCATGATTTGGAGAACAGCAATTCCCAAGAGCTCCCTGTCTTTTAAAGCAAACAAACCATGGCAATCATGGGTTAAAAAATCCAACCTACTGAGCTTTCCATCCGAGCTGGGTTAAGTTTTGTGGTATCTTGGGGTGTTGAGAATTTTTGCTCAAACTTCCTTCTCTCTTCAGCTTCACTGCTTGAAACTCAGGTGCAGGTTGAAACAAGTTTCAGACATGAAAGTTGTGATCAGCTCCAGCTGCTGCTTTAAAGTCACTGACTTTCATAAATTTTCCTCAACAAACCCAGTGTTGGACTTGTCACATAATTTTTATTTAGAAGCTCCCAAGCATTTGGAAAATCTTGCACCTCTGATCTCCACGAGGTTTTTCAGATCTTGACAGACCCACTGGTCAATCTGAGCAAATAAATAGTGTTTGAGGAGGACCCCGAGACCAGCTTTAATTGTGACTTCATTAGAGTAGCAGTGGATATATGTGAGCATATCTCCATCAGCAGCTTAGCAGGGCTTTTAATTTAATTGCCTTTAATTTGCTTTAAAGCTGTGGTGATTCTGGACCAGTCCACAAACTATGCAGAGAGCAAGCAGACTACACTGTAGCACTGAATACAAACTCCTTCCTGAGGGAAAAGGGAAATAAAATTCACGCTGTTTGTCTCTCATGGCTGCTTCCAGTGACTGAAAATGGTTTGCAATAAGGTGGTGACCACATGTCTGCATAAGGCAGATGATGGAAGTCTTTTGATGGGTTTAGGCTGGTCTCATTTGGCTGCTGAACTGCAGTGTCTGAAGTTTTCAGATTCAATCATTGCTGCTGCCACGTTGATTAATTTTGATGCATTTTCCCTCCCCGTGGCAGAGCAGCAGCAGAGAAGGCCTGGGCAGGTGTAAGACAAGCTTCAGTTCACAGCTTCTATCAGCTCATAAATCTGAGGCCAGGAATAGACCATTTTCCCCTTTTAGTTTTTCAATCCTTTTTTTAGGTGTAATATCAGAGGGAAAACTGCCCAGAGGTGCCCCTTGGCTGCATTCATAAAACCTGCCTGGTCAGAGCAGGGCAGGATTTTCCTCAAAAGAAAAAAAAAAGCCACTAAAGCCAAAATGGTAAAACCTGAATAAAACCAGGACTTCTGTTCAGAGGTGCTGTTCAGCTCCGGGTTTCAGTGCCTGATGGATTGATTAACACACTGTTCCTCACTCAGGCTCCAACACTGGTGCCCAGGACATGTTAATGTCTGATAATGAGCAGGAAAACCCTTCACAGTCCTCCTGTGCACCTGGTGCTGCAGCCTCGGCCACGACATGTGCCTCAACTCAACGAAGCATGAGCCTGGAATAATGACTTCCTTCATGGAAAAATATGCTCAATTAGCTGCTAAAAAAAAAAAAAAGTGAATGAGGATGGACAGTTTTCAGTCTGAGTCTCTGGTAAGGAAGGATTTACTGGCTGAGGTCCCAGTCCTTCACGTGTGTCTGCGCAATGATTGCTCTTGCTTTTTTCTTCCATTACTCAAATTATTCGGGGAAGTTTTGAGCACTTTTACGCAGAGTGGTGGAATTTTCCAAGGGAAACATGAAAACTCGGTCAGAAGTGAGTGTTTTTCCTCTTCTTTTCTTACTGCTTGGCATGATATAGTACAGATAGTACACTAAAGATTCAGGACCACTGTGGTTTGACACTTGCTTTTATTTTCAAGGTTTCTCCTAGTAGTATCCTGAACAGAAAATTAAAAGAATGGAAAGCCAGATCATTGTTTTTAGCCCAAAGCCTGCCTTCTGTTGTGTTTATTCAACCCCTGCTACTGGGAGGTATGGAGGGAAATTGGTTTTGCTTCCTTGCTTTCCTTCTCTATAGTTCTTTGATTATGGAATTGTTACCAAGGGTGTTTTTCAAACCCATCCTGTCCCTTTAGGGGAACCTGGAAGCCAGGATTATGGATAAATGGGCTGACAGTCGAAATTTGATCAGTGTGGGATCCCAGCTCCACGGAGAGAAGGATATTTGGGGATTTTTTGTTTGGCATCAACTTCTAATTGGGAAGCTTGTGCTTTTGCAAACCTGTATGTACTAAAATTTACTGCTGGAAGTATTTTTGGGTAACAGGTGATAAAGCTGTGGGGCTTTGCTTGGCAGCACTAAAGAAGCACAGATTTATAAACAAACCTTCATTTCTGAGACTACTCACTGGAGCAATTCGATGTTTTACCGTAGTGCTGGTGGAAGCACATAAGAACACTATCTGGGTTATATAATTTATTTTCTTTAATGGGAAGAGGGAAAAGGGAACCTGAGAGTGCAGATAAACTGTGGGAGTGTGTAAAACTTGCTAATGGTCCATCAGAAGGGACCAGAGCAGTTGTGGGTGACCAGTGTCTGAGGGCACCAGAGGGTGCTGTGCACTCAGCAGCTCTCAGGCCACACCCCTGATTTAGCAGCAGAGGTTACTGTCACTGCCTGATGCAAAGGAGGTTTTAGAAAGTAAAGCTTTAATATCTCATCAGATAGAAAGCTTTGCAGAACCTCCTTCCTGCTAGTCAAAAACTGCACGAAATGTTTGGCGAGCGAGCGAAGCTTCAGAGAGATCCAGGAGAATTTCTGTGCCGTGAGGGAAACAGCTGAGGGACAGAAATCAGCTTAAAAAGCTGCACAGACAAAATGAAACGGGAAATGTTGTACAGAGAAAGATGGGTCAGGAGGAAAGCCTCTGAAATCAGAGTCAGCATAGAAGGGTGTCAGAGCATGGCAGGCTCTGCAGAGGGGTTTGTGCAGCAGAGCTGAGCTGGCACACGTGGGCAGTGAAACCCTCCTTGCCTGGATGCTGTGGGAGCAGGGCTGGGGCTTGACAGACCTCCGGGATACCTATCCCAAAATATCCAGAGCCTGGGAGTAATCCCTCATCCTCTGCCAAGCCCTTCACAGACAGGAAAGCTCCCCAGGTTCTGTGCAGAACCTGCAAATGTGAGTGTGCAGAACGAGGGTTCAGGGGCTGCTGCTCACAGGGGGTAACAGGTGAAGAATCCAGGGGAGCAGCTGAGCAAAGGGAAGGGCTGTTCCTGGCAGAAAGGAGGGGTAGTTTTAGCAAGGGCTGCTGGAATTCTCAGGGAAGCTGAATCCTCTTCCTAGCCCTGCCACTGACACATTGTTGGATCTTTCACAAATCGTGCCTTATTGTCTGTAGTCTCCCATCTGTGAAGCAGCAAAATAACACTGAGGCATCTTGGAAATGGAAATGTCAGAGCCTGATTCTGTGCATCTGATACAAAAAGGGGGGGTCTGCAGAGGAGGAGCCACAGGGACCCCTCAGTGCTGTGTAGAGATAACTTCTCTTAAAAGAGAGCTGGAACTCTCCATATAAAGTTACATTACTAAAGACATCAAATCAGCTCTGCTTTACCATGTTAGAAACACTTTTATCTCTAACCTAAAGCCCAAGTTGAATTAGGGGCAGAAAAACAGTAGATTACAGCAAGATGTTTGCAAGATACAACCTTAAAAATTTTAAAAGCACCAGTTCTGCATGAGAAATACCAGTTGCAGTTGCTTGTTGATGCTGATTCATTGAATCCTGACCACAGGGCTTATTTTGCATGTTTGTTTTTTTTCAGTCAGAGGTAGCCTGTCAAACTTCCACTTCCTCTGTAATTTAAAGGTAAATATTTTAAATAATCATCTCAGGAATTTATTTGGGCTTTGCCCTGGTGATTTATAGAGGCAGCTATGCCCATTTCTCTCTGGGTGGTTTTTTAAAAGTAATTCAAGACATGAAAGACACCTGGAGCAGGATATGTCTTTATGGGAGGGATGCAGAGGCTGCTTCAAGGTTCTTTAGCCAAAAGACCTATGAATTAGAAACAAAGTGTGTTGCAAAATATGGGAGAGGTGTTCAAAGGTATAAACCTTCCTGGCACATTCGTTTCCTGACAGCAGAGCAGAGAAATGCTGAGGTTGGAAGGGGCCTCTGGAATCAGCTCATCCAGTCCCCTGCTCAAGCAGAGTCAGAGCAGGTTTGCCCAGTGCTGTCCCACTTGGGTTTTGTGGGGATATTCAACCTCTCTGGACAACCTGACCACCCTCAGAGTTAAGAGAAACGTTTCCTTGTGTTCAGATGGTTTTTAATCTGCGTCCATCTCTGCTTTTTCTGTCAGAGGTGCTATTGAGAACAGTCTGGCTCCCTCTTCATTCCCTCCCAGCAGGTCAGTGTTTCTCTGGGCACACTGAAGGAGAGGTGGCTGATGCTGCTTTTCATTATTTGAGACCAGGTATCTTGGAGAACAGTCTGTCTTAAAAGGAAATTTTCATACCCTGTCCTGGATTCAGTTATGAAATCTGACCTTAAATTGTGATTACTGGCCTCTCTTTGCCCTAAGAATGAGCTTTCCAAAGGTGTTGGAGTTCGTGCTCCATTCCTCAGGATGCCCACACCCAAATACCAGCTGTCCCCAGAAAAATCTTCCATAGGTGTGATCCCAGCACTCCAGTCCTGTTTGTCTGCTTACACACCAAGCATAAGGAGGGAGGGATGGAGTTAAAAATTAAGTGTGCAGCTGGCTGAGGACTTGCCTTTCTGGGTGTGGGTTTGGGGGACGTCAGGAAAACACAGATGCCTTGCTGCCAAATCATCTCTGCTGTCCCATGGGAGACAGGCAGATTGACTGTCAAGTATTTCAGCCCCCTGAAAATGAAGCAAATCTGTTCAGTTTTAACTAGCTGAAGATTTAATCCACGATTTGCACTTTTATGGGTCATTAAAACAGGAAGGAAAAAGCCCCTCACTTTGGAGACCATATTCCTTGTTGCTGCAGTCTGTTATTCTTCTTGGTTGAAGGACACTGAGTCATATTTAGGTGAATCCTCTAACAGCTGAGAACATCCAGAAACAGCACAAAGCCAGCGTTCCTTGTCTTTGGGCTCCCCCCCTTGCTGCTCCTCTGCTCCCTGCTTTACAAATGAAAGGGAAAACAGTCCTTTGCAGGCATGCAGGATACTGCCTGACTTTTGTTTGGATTTCCATAGGTATTGGTCACCTTGGTGCAGGCTCCTGCTAAGAAGCACAGTAAGTGATCTCATCAGAGATTTTAACCTGGAGGGCTTTTTGAGCAGAAGCTGTTGCTGTCAGAGTCACAGGATCAGGTGTGATTTCCAGTTTGCTGGAATATACAGCAAATGTGCAAACAGGCTCTGGGCTTTTTTTAGCTCACAAAAGCAAGGGAGTCCTTTGAAAGATCCTCCGTGTGCCCAATCATCGCTCTCCTCACCCTGCACAGCATCACAACATTCTGACAGTGTAAATCCTCACATTTGCCTCCCTCCCTCCCTCTCTCCTCCAGCCACTCTCCCTCCCCCTCCCAGCCTGCTGCTATCGGATCTGTGATGATATGTGATCTCCTGGATACAATCACACACACACACAAGTACCAGGCACTCCTGCTCAGCTGAGCAAAATGTCTTTCTCCTAGAAGTGGTGCTCAGCCCCGCGCTCAGAGCCTTGACGATGTTGCCATGCTTCCCTTCCTGCCTCCTGCCTTTTGCTGCCTTTGCCTGCCTGCTTTTCCTGCCCGGGGGTCACCTCTGCCCTGCTGCCTGTAGCTGTATGG